CTCCTGCAGGCTCTCGCAAGTACCCCCGGCTGCAGACTGCGGATTAGGATACTAGACGCGGTCAGACGTCCAATGGTTGTGGTCATGGCTTGTAGGGAAGTTTAATAGGAGGCTTAAAAAAATTGGGTGTGGTTAATTTTAGTATTTAGCATCTGAGGTTGGTTAATTTTAGAGTTGAGGGCGGGGTCGGACCTGTTATCCGACCCTGCCCCATGCCGCGGTCTGCAGCCAAGGGTTACTCAGCTCTCGGGTCAAAGTGAAAGTGAAACCTAACTGTCTGCTGAGCTCTCAACATTAGTTCTCACTCRGTTGTAAGAAAAATACGTATTCAATAAACTGAAGTCGATATTAAAAACACCATTGTTAAATAAAATGATTTGTTGAGGGAATCAAACCACACACCACCAGAATTCTGGATCTGAGTGAGGTTTATTGTCAATGGAGATGACAGGAAACCAACACTGGCAAAAAACCAGGAAGTTCATCAATTTATACATGTTCTTCAGTGCCTGTGTTCGCCCCCTACTGACCTACGGCTGAATCACAGGCATTCAGACAAAATTCTCACCTACTGTTCTCATAACAGTTGATTATGTGTTGTYATATAATTCGGACATGTAACTGAACCTATTTTCAACCAAAACATAATAGATTAAACACTTTCAACATTATAAAAAGGAAAACCAAAAATATAGTGTTGTGCTTTTAACACCAGTACTAACCTCTAATAACTACAAATTCCTTCACAGTGAAGCTCTTTTCAGATTAAAAACGCCTTTGAGGAAATGTATTTTCAGATACCAAGTAAACTGCATCGTGGCGCACACGCAACCCCCCCTTGCGTGCGAACACCCTCGAACGAGACGGATCAGAAGCGGAAGGAGGTTCTTAAAGAGACAGAGGCCAATTTCAAGGTGTTTAGAAGAGGAAGTGATGAGAAGATAAGTTTATTTTCTATTTAAACATAAAAACAGCATTTTAAAAACAGCTAAAGGTAACATAGATACTTTATAGTGGTATAGTATTTAAATATATGCCTGAGAAACACACAATATTGGCCCTTTAAGGGTATGGATACAGTAAATGATTTGTGGGTTACATTTGGTACATTCTAATCCATCCATCCATCCATCCATCCATCCATCCATCCATCCATCCATCCATCCATCCATCCATCCATCATCCATC